TATATATACATATCTATATATACATATATTTATTTATTTATTTATCTATTTATTTATATGATTTTAAAATGCAACTGAGGCACTTAGTTGCATGTTATTATTTCTCGTCTGTTCGTTCTGCTATGTTATGCAGTGTATGTATGGAACCGCAGGGAGAGAAAGAAATAAGCCATGATAAATAGAAAGTGACAGCTCACAAACGATAGACACAGTGTGTCCGGTGCATATGTGCGCATGTGGCTTGTGCGAGTGTGTTGCTGAACAAATAGACAGATAGTGCACACTATGCAATCATATGTGGTGAGGTCCAGGGGGCCGGGTACGGGGTGTGTGGTGAGAGAGAGAGAGAGAGTGTGTGTGTGTGTGTGTGTGTGTGCGCGTGTGTGTATTATATATGGTTTGGTGTCCTTCCTCTCGTTTCTATTTATTGGTGTGGTCTACTGAAGTTGATGTTGCTTTTGTTTTTGTTGTTGCTTGGGTTATGGTTGTTGCTGCTGTTCCTGTAACTGTTGCTTCTGTTGTTGTTGTTGTTGGTGGTGGTGGTGGCGGTTGTTTGGCTATGGTTGTGGTTAGAGCTGCTGCTGTTGCTGTTCTTGTGGTTTTTCTTGTGGTTGTTGTTGTGGTTGTGGTCGTGGTCGTGGTCGTGGTCGTGGTCGTGGTCGTGGTCGTGGTCGTGGTTGTTGTCGTGATCGTTGTGGTTGTGGTGGTGGTTGTTGTTGTTGTTGTTGTGCTGGTGTTGTGGTTGTCGTTGTCTGTGCTTCTGATGGGACTGCGGGTGCCGCAAGACTGTAGGCTGGTGGTGCTGCTGCTGCGGTTGCTCCACTGCTGGTTGCCCCTTTTGCTGGCCGTAGTTCGCGGGTGTGGCTGTCTTAATGTATTCGTGTTGCTCTGTCCTACGATTGCGAGTGTGCGATACTTGGAGTTCCCTGTTGCCCTGCCAGCAAAAAGCCGCTGCCGACCGCTTCCTCGAATCCCTCCTCAACAAGACCAGCAAGATCCGACAGCTGCTGAAGGACCTCCGTACCAACTATGGCACGGATGCTGGCCCGTAGTTTCCTCAGATTGGCTTCCAGCAACAATGCCGCATGCCGTGACTGACCCAAGCAGATCCTGTAAGTGATCCCAAAACTTGCTATATATTCAGGTCGATCAAGACCCTCGACGAACACATCAAGAAGCTGGACGCCGAGTATGAGAAGATCAATGATGCCAAGGCTAAAGGCGAGGTTGACGGCCACACTGCGAGGCCAGACTAGATTCTTCAATTGCTTTCATGAAATGAACATACCTCGATCCTGTTTGCCATGCACCTTCAAGCCTACGTACTGGCCTATCTTGATTCCGATCTCTCACACACGCACGCACACATCTCGGCTTTCGCACGGAAGCCGCTTCAATCCCTACGTGTCCCCTCGCACTCCAACAGTTGGTGGACGAACCTCGAGAAGAAGATGAAAGATGCTACTATGGTGCCGGGTCCTCATGTGTCTCTCTTTACGATCTACGAAATCTGCTGGACATGCACACTTCCCTGTTCAGGGCCAGCCGTGCCACCGCCACCGAGTTGCAGGTGAGGCACCTCGGTAGAGCAGGACAGTGGTTCGGATGTTTCGTCGTTGTCCGTGGTCATATTCATACCATCTGCAGTTCACACTTACCGGGGCTCGACTGAGGAATGCCAAAAAGTTCTATGGCAAGAATTCTGATGCTCCAGCTGGAGTACCTGCAATGAACCCGAATGCATCGAGACCGCGAGCCCCTAAGGCCAAGGCTAAAAGCAAGGGGCCGAAGGCTCCCACCAAATCGAAGTAGGCGGCTGCCTTTCATGACTTGCGCCCCAAGAAAACACTATAGAAACCCTATGCCCCTCAGCCATATATACAAACCCTGCTAGTCCTAGCTCCAATTATAATTTAATGTTACACCTGCTAGCCCTCCGACACTACAAATCCTCTATGAGCCCTGAGTATCTTCGTTAGTCGCCCGTGTTGCTAGACTCGCTAGATTGTGCAATTGTGCAAGTCATGTCAGGAAGCTGGAAACATAGCTTGATGTGATTTTCGATGCCAGTTGTCGTGGTTCTTGCCACGAGCACACGTGTGAACGGTGGCGTGGTCAGATCATGGTCTGCCGCCTAGAAGACTCGATCTGAGTCGCTTTTGTGGTAAACCCCGGGATTTTAGTGGGTCCTGTCGGGGAAAGTTCAGGATCTCACTCTAGGAGCCTGGGGCCAGCTATGTCTTGCGGAGCTGCGCGATCTCCGATGCAGAACTACAACTTCGCAAGTGCATGCAAGTGTGTGCATGTCGGTGTCACGCAGTGCCTCCCCATCCCGAAATATAGTCTAAACTCCGCATCGTCCCTGACACGCCAGAACCCGGTCCGGTGGCGAAGCACTGCTTTCGCGCGATCGGAGATGGTGCCAGGAGCTTATCGTCCGCCAGCCAGCCACTTCCGAGCCTTCAGAACATGTTTGCGAACTCCGACTAGACTGAAAGTTAGGGTCGTGTTCGGCTGCGATGTGAAAGTCTGGCTTGGCTCAAACCAGGGGAATGTCTAGGGTACTGTGGGGTTCGGTGTTTTCATTCCTGCAGAGGATGGTCTAGGGTACTTTGGGGTTCACGGTTTACGTGCCCAATGTCATGGAGCCTCCAGATGTTGAATTGTGATGGTCTAGGGTGCTTTGGGGTTCAGGGTTTACGTGCCCAATGTCATGGAGCCTCCAGATGTTGAATTGTGGGACCTTCTGACCTGTCATCGCTCTGTGTTCCGGCCGCAAGCTAGATGTCGATAGTCTGGAGCTAACAAAGACTTAGTTATAATCATGTAGCAACCCGATATCCATGCTTGCACTTAGGCTGATGATGCTCCGTTTCCGTGGCCAGACCCATCATGCATCGACGTGGCTAGACGTGCAAAGCCCTGCGCAACCTTGGCCACTGCAGAGGTCGCGCCTTCAAGGTCAAAGGTTACGGCAGCTTCGAAGCCAGCCTGGGCACCACACGTTTCAGATTCTGTTCGGGCCGACAACGGGATATTGTCTTCGCTTCGGAAAGTGGATGAGCATTCAGATATAGAGTGGTGCTTGGCTGCTCGGGCTACTACTGCGGGGGGTGTCCTCAGCCACGCAATCCATATTGTGAATCGGTTGCTTCATCGTCATGCTCCTATGATCTTCAAAATAGGTTTCACCCACGATGCCTGCTGGCGTTGGCAGAATACTATCTACGGGTACAAGTGGCAGCGGGACAAGTGGGAGAAGATGTGTTTATTGCACATCGCCGAAGAACCTTTCAGCCTGGCAATGCTCGAAGCTGCCCTCATCCATAAATATCAAGGAGCCTCAGCGATTATAATCAATAGGTTTTTTAATGGTATCACTAAGATGTACAGGCCCTATATGTACATATACGCACCTCTAGGTTCCTTCGGGTAACATCCCTGCATGAGGCACGCCTGGCTGCCGAAATACTCGCTCCGGCGGAGATAATGTGAGGACGGATGGGGCCGCCTCAGTGAGTGTGTGTATGACATACATTGTGTACAGGTCCTTCAAACACAAGCCTGCTTGATGGTTCTGCGCTTGGGCAAGGATTGCTCGATCTGCAAGAGTATGTGTCACTTCCACACATAGCTCGTGAGTGGGAAACAAGTGTGCGAACAGCATATTCGTGTGCAGCCGAGCGACCACTATTGCTTGACAGGTAGACAGAGAAAACGTTTGCATCATGAGCATGATTTCGCAAGCGAACTTGTTTGCTTGCCAATGGAACGACAAACACAAAATCTTTTCCGCTTTGCCGAGGCCTCATGCAGCTCGGCCGTGCAGTCGGCCCGGGCTGTGGTCGACGAAATGCCAGCTGCAGCGACTGCTTCAGTGCGAAGGGTTGCTAAGTGCTCTGTTGGGGATGCTGAGAGGGACATGCATAGATTGGGCGAGAAGTTTCGCTTGCGACTTGGGGTGCGCCTGAGTCGAGTGCCATTGCTGAACGATGTGAAGATCGCCGTACTGTTCATGTCATCCTGGGTCAAGTTCTTTCTTGCGAGAAACCTATGGTACTTTCTGTGTGGTTTGGAAGAGCCGGACGAACAACGATGCGAGCGACAACTGGAACTTTTCTGGGAACGCTTTCGTGGGATTGCTCCGAAGCACCCCGTATTTCAGCGATCGCTTCCGGAGCTTCGCCGGACTTGTCCTGTTCTTATCCACGGCGACGAGGGACGAAGTGCCAAAAAAACGGCGTTGATGGTATTGTCGTTTCACGCTGTCCTTGGAAAAGGAAGCCGCCCGTCGACTGAGACACAGGCTACTGATCATGAGGACACACCGCAGGAGCTTAACTTTCAAGGGCATACCTTCGCCACACGGTACCTACTTTCCGTTTTGCCGCGGGCCATGTACGACGATGGGGTTGCGGGGAACTTCCAGCTACTTTTGGGCCATCTGGTTCCGGATATACAAAGCCTTTTTGAGGAAGGGTTGGTATCTTCAATCTACAACAAGAAGTTTTATGTTTGCGTCCTCAACATCATCGGCGACTGGCCGTACATTGCAAAGGCGTTTTGCTACAACCGGACATT